TAGTTTTTTTAAAATCAGTTTTTATGTTTTGTTGCAGTAGAAGTGATCTGCATAGTTTTTTCTGTGGCTTTTGAATTAAATTACATTGGTACCAAGCCACAGGATGTGAGAATAATTAATCCTTCTGCGTAGGCTCATTCATATACTTATGGCATAGCAGGAGAAACCATTTCATGATGATATAAAATATTCTTTTAAAGTTGGTGCTCTGCAAATGTTTTGAACAACAATCCTACTGTAATTTTAGTAATTGCTTAGAGTGCCAAGCACAATTGGAGAGTACTAAGTTGAGAAAGACCAGTGTAAGATGGGATGCAAATGATATTTTACGGTTTATTTTACAGCACTCAACTTTATGTTTTCAAGCCTCATAAGGCAAAAATCTTTCCGGAGTAGGTCATGCAATATTCAGAAGATGGAACGTGATTTGTTCTTGGTTATTTCTCTGATAGCCTTAATTAGGTGAAAAACATCCCGTGGATTCTGTTCTTTTAGGTTGGCTTTATAATACTCATTTTATAGATTGAGGAATACTATAAATCAGTGGTTCTCAACCTTTCTAATGCCGCGACCCCATAATACAGTTCCCCATGTTGTGGTGACCCCCAACCACTTATACATCACCGGGTGCCAGGGGCATGGCCAAAGAAAAGAGGGAAAAAATGGCGGACAACCTTGTTTGGCGACCCCCATGAAATGGTCGTTCGACCCCAAATGGGGTCCCGACCCACAGGTTGAGAACCACTGCTATAAATCATGCGTTCATCTTTAAATGTAGACCAAATTAACATTACTTTTTAATGGGTGCAGAATGTCTTAAAGTTAGCTCTGATATTTAGGGGAGGAGAATTGTATGTTGTATTGCTTTCCTCTCCCTTAATTGCACTCTCAGTTTGGCTTGATGTTTGACTACGCCCTGAAGAAAATTATATTAAATAGGTCTACTGTAAGAATAATACCTCCAAGCAAACAAAGTTAATATGGAGTCCTGGGTGTTCTCTGAATTTGGTTGTTTGGTTTCATATACTTCATTACTTGATTAGGTAACATCATCAATGCACTTAGGCACTTACGATGTTAACTAGTTAGGTAATAAAAGGACTGCAAGCAAGCAATCAAGCTCAGACAATACCAAGGATGTCACAGTTTAATCCTGAGCTACAGATATTCTCTTCTATTAGAAAAGCTGTTTTTCAGTGTCTCTATCTATATGGTTGACTGAATTTTAGCAAGATAATGAGATATATAACAGAAGCATATTTGCATTAAATATGCCTGGCAAGTCATTCTGATAGTTACATGAGCAAGCAATATTCACATTCTTTGGAAATGTATTTTGGTCATTCCCAGAGGAAAAGCTATTATCCAAACCAGCATCAAATTGTATTATGTATATCCTGGCATCTGATGATATCTATGATATAACTTTACCCTATGTTTTTCTTCATTAATAATTTCATACTAATATGTAGTAGGATAATCTTTCTTCCTTTTTTGCAGTACTTTATATATTCATTGATTGATAGATTATGTGCTGTCAAGTCGATGTCAACGTTTAGCAACCACATTCATCTTCTCTGATGAACTATCCCTAACCTGGTCCTTCAGTTGTTTCAATGCTGCAGCTAACTAAGCAAGGAGAGAAGCAACCTAGAACTAAGGAGCAATTTCCTGACAGAACAATTAATCAGAGGAACAACTTGCCTCTAGAAGTTGTGAATGCTCCAACACTGGAAGTTTTTAAGAAGAGATTGGAACATTTGTCTGAAACCGTATAGGGTTTCCTCCCTGAGCAGGGGGTTGGACTATGGTAGAAGACCTCCAAGATCCCTTCCAACACTGTTTTCTATTATATTCTATCGCCAGTGTAAATGAGTCCATCCAGTTTGCTGGTGGTCGTCCTCTTCTTCTCTTTTGTCTTACCTTTCCCAGCATAAGAGCCTTGTTCAGAGGGCCAAGGCTTTACATAATGTGTCCGAAATATGATAAATTGAGCCTGGTCATTTGTGCCTTGAGTGAGAAAACTGGGTTGATTTGTTTTATGATCCATTTCTATTGGCTGTCCATGGTATTTTCAGGAGTCTTCCAAAACCAAACTTCAAAAGTGTCACCTTTCTATCCTTCTTTCAAGACAAACTTTTGCTTCCATAGTTTGACACAAAGAACACCATTAATATACAGTACTCAGTCTGCTCTTATAGTCTCCCCTTTCTCATCTTACAAAAGAGATCCTCAAGAATTAAAAAGTAATAGAAGTTAATGATACTAATCAATCATAATTTAGCCCATATAAAATAGTTTTGAATTCTTTTTGGTGAGAAATATTTCTTGGATCAAATATTTTGGCCACCAAATGAGAAGAGAAGAGCTCATTGGAAAAGTCCTTGATGTTGGGGAAAAATTGAAGGCAAAAGGAGAAGGGGACGGCAGAAGATGAGATGGTTAGATAATGTCATTGACGCAATGAACATGAATTTAGGCAAACTCCGGAAAACACTGAAAGACAGGGGGACCTGGCATGCTATGGTCCATGGAGTTGCAAAGAGTCAGACACAACTTAGTGACTGCACACCAACAAACAATTTCTTGGCTACAGCTATCTTTTATCTGTTGGATTTCACCCTTTGGGGGTAATACTTAGCCCAAACATAGAAGGAGATGAGAAAGCTTTTGACTGTGGGATATTATGCAATATTGCGTAATATCCATGTCTCAAGAACAAAGGGAATTGTCAGAAAGCTCTCACATATGTCAGATAAATGTGGTTCGTATAGTCTGCAGTTGAAAGATTCCATTCTATCATAGGCACTTGGAGATTCCCTTAAAATTCAGGCAAGATAGTCCCAATGTATTTAGTAAAACTTCTGTAAGCACTCCTGCTGAATTCTCTCCATGTTTCCAATTGACTGATTAATACATATGAAATTACAGATGTCCAAAAGCAAGAGACGCTGTGAGGGACAAGGTATGATCTGGTGGCTTCAAACTTTCTTAAAAAGAAGAATATGCTATATAAATGTTTATACATAAACATAACCCTAAACAGTAAATCTTGAACCATTGGAACCATTGGAACAATTCCACTGGTTAGTTAGTTATGCTTTGTTGCTGTTGTAAAACCCAGAAATTTCAGTGAAGGCTTTTGTTAGAATAATAATGAAAAATATCCTGATCATCATAGATTCTGATACTAAAGATCTCCTCCTTTTCCCCTTTCTCATCAATCCAGGAAACAAATCTTTCTGGGTGACACCTTCCTGATAATTTATTAAAATCCCCCCTTCCCAGTGCTCTGAACCACTCAGCTTATTAGAAGAGAACATGTTTCTCTCCTTTTTCTTGCTTTCTCTCTTTCCCTTTTGTTTTTATCCAGAGGACACCAGCAACTCTCCTTTTGCTTTTTGGTTTTTTTATTCCAAAGGTTGGATAGTACAAACCTGCTCAGTGTTGCAAATGCAAGCGAATTCTTTCTCCGTTTTGTCCAGAAAACTTGTTTTCTCTGCCTGTTCTCTCTATTCTATCCTCTATGCCTATGGGAAGTGGCATAAAAGGTCCATGCCTTTAGGACATTTGCATATGTGTATGTGAAAATGCTGCATTTGCTAAGCTTTCTCTTTTTGCTATGGCAATAAGCCAGGATGCTAAATTCACTACTGCCTTTCCTGGAACTCACTTTGGCTCCCTGAACTGAATGACCCAAAGACAGTTAAGATCTTTATGTTTATCAGCAAACTTGCAAGCACAAGTGTTAAATACCAAGTGAGTCTTTTATTGCTTTGTGTGCTATTAGCCCCCAGTGTTCTTTAAACAGTATTTCTTAATTATTGATTATAATTTCATTTTTGGATTGTCTGAACACATGCCTTATTAATCACCTGCAAAATTAAGGCCACTGGAATTTATAATAGTAATAATAATAATAATAATAATAATAATAATGATGATGATAATAATAATAATAATAGTAATAAAGTTGGAAGGGATCTTGGAGGTCATCTAATCCAACCCCCTGCTCAGGCAGGAAACCCTATACCATTTTGGACAAATGGCTGTTCAGTGTCTTCTTAAAAACTTCCAGTGTTGGAGCATTCACTGCTTCTGGAGGCAGGTTGTTCCACTGGTTAATTGTTCTAACTGTCAGGAAATTTCTCCTTAGTTCTAGGTTGCTTCTCTCCTTGATTAGTTTCCACCGTTGCTTCTTGTCCTGCCTTCAGGCGCTTTGGAGAATAGCTTGACTCCCTCTTCTTTCTGGCAGCCCCTGAGATATTGGAATACTGCTATCATGTCCCCCCTCGTCCTTCTCTTCATTAAATTAGACATACCCAATTCCAGCAGCCATTCCTTATATGCTTTAGCCTCCAGTCCCCTAATTGGTGCTGGAGAAAGCCTAGTTGGTTACACTTGCCATACTGTAAATGAATGGGTAAGTTAAAAATGATAGTATATATGAATATTAAGTATTAATTTAAGATATTTGAATGTGTTTTGTGAAACTGTTACATGTGTATGATTTTATTAATGATGTGTAAATGCTTAGGAGGAGAATGGATCTCCCTCTAGTGGTTTTACTGGGAAAAACCGATTTTCTGGGCATAGATTTTGGTTCATTGGCAAAAATTTTGTATTTAAAATTAAGAATCTCCAATACCATTATTTTATAATTTTCTCTCCAATATGTAAAAAAGTTAGTCTTAATTTGCTAATTTTGTTCTCCATTATTTGTTATATTTTTCTACAATTATCCAGAACAATTTATTTGGCATCTTATGTGATTTTGTCAGAAGATTCTCTAGTTATAGATTTATATGCTGGTTCCCTACTTAGATTTAAGATGGTGACTGACTCTTGGAAGAATTTGATAATCAGAAAATTAATTTATATCCAATCTGAATTTTGTTTTATGAAAGTGTCTTTTTTCCCTTTTAGTGCTTGCACTTTATAATTTCAACTATTAAGATTTTGGCTGTTCAACCACTTGATATCTCTTTTTCTTCTTTTAGGTTTGGGAGACATTTTGAGTCACCTTTACTATTGCAAAGCATTATAATGATAGCCACAATGTTATTAATGCTGAAATTGTGCACTGAAGTACGTGTGGCCAATGAGTTGAATATAAAACGACGTTCCTTTTCAGGTTGGTTGAAATCATTGCGTATTAATTCTGTATAACATTATTTCTCCTCTCTTTTTTTTGGCTCCATTATATTTTGGCAAAACTCTGTTTTGATAATCCAACACACAAAGAGCATCCCAATTAAGGAAATGTAATTTATTTTGAAAGCATTTACTTTTATTTGTGTGTGTATGAATATGCTAAATCCTAATCAAAGCAATTCTCAAACAGTGACCCTATTTATAGGAGTAGTGAACTATAGAAATGGCTTCTGTTGTTCTCTTTTGCAAAATTATAGATGAAAGATCATTCTTTCCCAGATTGCTATTATATACTCATATGCTTCTTGGTATCTCATTCATTGCTCTAAAGTCATGTGATATCCATTTGAAATATCATTTTGTACTCATTGTTCTGCTCAGAAGTGTAACATTCCATCATTTTATGGATCAGTCGTACCATCTATCATGAATGTGGTGGTGATAACAAACACTGTGACATATAGATGAATTGTGGGACAAGCTAGTCAGCATTCTTATCTCTTAGAGGTTCAAATGGCTTCCATCAAGTTATGTGTGACCTTCAAATACAAAACGTGGGAATAGGGAATGACTATCACATGCATATATATTTCCGTTGCAGTACAACAAATATTCTACAGTTTTCTCATACTTCAGCTTTTGTAAATGTTCCTTCTTCATTTTGTGATGATAAGAAAGTTGGTTGATAACAGAAATGAGAGAAAAAGCTGATGTCATGAGCCCATGAAATATGTATATAATTTACAGACGTACGCACACTTATTTTCCCCTCCTCTTCAATTCAGATATGCCAGTGTTTTTCAAACTTGGAAGCCATTAAGATGTGTGGACTTCAACTCCCAGAATTCCCAGGTGGCATGCTGGCTGGGGAATTCTGGAAGTGCAAGCGTCTGATATATGTGATATGGCAATGCAAAGAAGGCAGACTTGCTAGATTTCCTTCCTATCCATCCATCCATATGTCCATTCATCTTATTAATTCTCCTAAATCCATATTTGTCCTTTTCTGATTGGATGGTTAGCTTTAGTGTATGTATATATAAAAAACCAAGTTCCTTCACTCATGCAGCTAATTCTGGGAGGAAATTAATGATTTTCACATTGCCTAATACTGACAGAATGTGTTACATGAAACAAATCTTAATGGGAAAATCTTAGAGGATCTATAAACAGTCTGTTTTGTGCTGGTTGGAATATTTGTTAAATTGTTGCGAATCAAAGATTTGTTTTAAGATCTAGTCTCCTCTTTGCTTTTCAGTCAATATTGAGCCTTCACTGTTGAATTTTTTTCTTGAGTCATCTGTTTTATGACCCAATCTGTAGCTCAAAGTTCTTTAATTTATATATTTCTGGTCTATTCTTATACGAAACTTGTTCTGCATAAGAAGGGTAATTCACTCAAATACTGTATATCTTCCTTATTATTACCTTAGTAAGCAGCATACATTGGAGTGTTTTCTGAAATGTCATTTTCTAATTTTAATGCAAGAAATTTTTTCTCATGTTCTTGTATGATTTAAATATCAAGTTCTATGAATTAATGGTCTGAAATATCCAAAAACCTGTTTTGATAGTATGCATTGTTGGCTTTTTATTTTGAATTCATGCTTTTTATTTTTGTACATGAATTTGTAAATGTGAATGTTTGGGTTTAGTGTATGTGTAAGAGATACACATATGTGGTGATCAAAGGCAATTTATTTACTTTTTTTTTCAATATCCATATATCAATTTCCTAGATTTGCAAAATTTAGAGAGAATTGTTTTGAACAGAATTTAACTGTTTTTTATCAAACAATAGATCTTGTTGGCTACAAAGAATTGAAAATAATTGCTGGTTTTGTAGTTTTGTACCACTTTGGATAAGTGAATATAGCTTAAAATTTTATTTGTTATTCATATTGTAATTCAATTATTGGCATTTAAGATAAGTTTGTTGTACATATTTATCTCTTGAATTATTGTAAAGCATCATTTATCGTCTGAGATGAGCTCTTACATGCTGTTTTGATTTATTTAAGCTAAACCTTTGCTTAATTTTTTTCCCACAATCCTCTTAGCGAAAAAATGTAAAGCGATGTAAAATAGATGACTAATGTAATTGCTTGATACTGATCTATGCATTCAATATTTGCTTAAGCTATGGTTCTTGTCCTTTATGTTTTCTAAATGATTCTTTTGTTTTTCTAAATTTTGGGGAGCACAGTATGAATGCCTAATATCAGAATCCAGTGAATTAAATTGCTTTTTTTTAATATAAAAGAGCATTCTAGCATGATGACTGTCATAAAGCTGTCTTAACTTTAAGCTAATTTAGAGCACTTTCACAGCTTGCCATTATGAGGAGTCAAACTATTTTGTTTTGTCTTTGCTTTCTCTTCAATATTTTAATATAGCTGCAGATAGTAAGGATGAAGAAATCAAAACAGCTCCCAAGAGAATCTTTCTAGGTATGTACTTTAGAAACCCTTGTTGCATGAGAGTGCCATCGAAACACCATCTGTCCTCCACTCCTTTTTTGTTTTTGCTTGGGATTTAGGTTTTATTTTTGTTTTGTTTTTTGACATTTTAGAAATGCATGCATGCTTATCATTTCTAAGAAGAAACTATCCATGCCGCATCTTTTTAACAACAACATCTTCATTTGGGTTTTATCACAAAGGGAAAAGGCACATTCAATTTTACCCCTTATGTGTTTCCCATATTTTTTTTTCTCCTGTTAATTCCATGACTAGATTTGACATTATAGGATTTATCCTCTTAAATTTACTTTATTCATCGTGTTTCACACAATAATTTGTGTTTCATTCAACAGTTTGTGACAATTGGATGGGATTGTGTGTGTGTGTGTGTGTGTGTGAACAACATGCAGACACATTTAAAGTATTTGCATGCATGAGTGTGCACGTGTATGTATTATATGAATCAATGCACTGCAAAGTCTCCTTTGAAGGTTATGGGCTAACCTATCACAATGGTGCATTGTGAATTGATGGATAGATATTTTTTGACTTCTCACTCTACGGATAAGAATTGGATCAAAACCATCCAGCTGGCTTTTGTACTTAAGAAAGGACCAGAGCCTGGGTTTCCCACTCCTGTCAAAGTTTCCATTGGTTTAATTTTAGTTTTAGTTTTTTTAAATTCTTTATTTAAATAATGATACATAATCAGTGCTTTCTCTAAGCTGGAGTGTTGTTTTCTCAACCAGTTGAGCATTATAAAAACTATTGTGTAGAAACTGTGAGTAGTAAATTGTAAATAATAATTGTCATCTTGAAATAATCATATTAAAATGCACATATGGCTGTTTTCAAATATCAGACACACAAGTAGTCCTCGACTTACAGCAGTTCATTTAGTGACTGAAGTTACAACGGCACTGAAAAAAGTTACTTATGACCGCTTTTCACACTGTTATAGCATCCCCATGATCACGTGATTAAAATTCAGTAGCTTGGCAACTGGCTCATATTTATGACGGTTGAAGTGTCCCAGAGTCATGTGATCACTTTTTGCGATCTTTCTGACAAGCAAATTCAGTGGGGAAGTCAGACTCACTTAACAACCATGTTGCTAACTTAACAACTGCCGTGGTTCACTTAACAAGTGTAGCAAGAAAGGTAAAAAAATGGGGCAAAACTCACTTAACAACTGTCTTGCGTAGCAACAGAAATGTTGAGCTCCATTGTGGTCATAGGTTGAGGACTACCTGTACAGTGATCTGGTTGCTCAAAGGTATGGTTTCTTGGCTTATATTTCACTTGTTTGTTGATTACATGTATTGATTATCTCTTAGCTTCTGAGTGCTGATTAAAGGTCTGGTCTTCGTATATCAAGTGTGGTATGGCTTAGTGCCACTAGAATTTTCCAGACTATTCATGCCAGAAGAAGCAGTTGGTTGCCCTCCATTTTGGGAAGGTTAGGAGGCCATAGCTAGAAGTACTGACTTTCAGGGATGGAAAAATGATGCCGTTGGAGATTTGTCCTTACTCAGCCTTGTGTTGCCATGTGGAAGAAACTGAATACAGAACCCTTCCAAAGGGGTTTTCGGACAATACTTGGTGAATCATTGCTGAAAAAGATGCCACAAGAAATGACTCCTTGAAATGTAGCTTTTCTGAAAGGAATTTTGGATACCGTATAATATGTGATGCTTTCCAGATGTGCTAGATAGTAACTTCTAATGGCCACATGGACTCAGAGGTTTGGGAGAACTATAGACTATTTGGTTTATATAAAGGGTGGCCAAGGCCAGGGCCGAGCTGCAGCCATTCAGAATCGGGCCCCGGAAGTGGTGGGTGAGTGTGTTCGTACTCATGCACACCTGCATTTGTGAAAGTGGTGCGCATGCACACGAAATCACCCCCCTCTCCTCCCCACACTGTTGCTGCCACCACTGCCACCAGTCCACCAAGCCAGAAAGGTTGGAGACCGCTGGTTTATATAAATTGAAGGAGATTATTTGAAATAGTCATTTGGCATTAACTTCAGAGCAGAAACTGATTCTCTTCTTTTTCAGCAGTCCAGAAAACTATTTATTGTTCTTAATTGTCTCCATCATCACTACCAAGAAGAGCAGTACAAAGCTTTTATCTAAATGCTTTATTCAGAAATCTAATTGTTATTATGCCAGGCAGCAGCTACAATATCCCTTTTTCAAATAGAAACAAAATATTGGTCAGGCTTATCTATGCAAGAGTAATAGATAAAAATGAATTCCAGTGCAGATTACTATTCTCATTAAGCCTTTGTCTTATTTACAGAGCTAATTAGAAAAAACTGATGAATTGTTGGTCTTAATCATTTAATTTCTCTAAGAAAGAATATTCAGTTAAATAGCGTTCAATGTATTATCTTAAAAGAATCTCTAAATCAGTGGTTCTCAACCTTTTTAATGCTGCAACCCCCAACCGGTCGTAAGTCGAGGACTACTCAACCGGTCATAAGTCGAGGACTACTCAACTGGTGCAGCACCGTTTGCAGAATGGGACTTTTGGCGGGCTCAGCAGGGCAGAGACAGCCTGGACAATTCCTATTGGGTTTTGAAAAGCCAATAGAATAAAAGGGAATAGCACAGCTAAGGAAAAGGGGAAAAAATGGTGGACTGCATTGTTTGGCGACCCCCGTGAAATGGTCGTTCGACCCCAAATGGGGTCCTGACCCACAGGTTGAGAACCACTGCTCTAAATCAAGAGACTGCACAAACTTCTTATTGCAGAGTTGTTAGCACCTGAGTAAGTTTTTCTGTGTTAATGCTATAATGGTTTAGTTGCATTTTTGTTTGATGGCTAAAGATGATTCATCTAATAAAGCTGCTTTGTTCTCAATTAGCTTTTTAAATGGGTTCTAACTTAAATTTAACCCAGATGCTAACTAGTGTGCTTTGTAATCCTTACTCAGCAGTGCCAGTGGTTGAGATTACAGAACCAAGGTTAGGAACTGTTAATTTAGGCAGTTGCTCTGTCAAGTCTTTAGCTTTTAAAGCTAATTTCCTTTTTATCTGAATGGAGAACAAATACTTGTGTGATGTCTCTTGTTTTGTTGTCATCATGCTTTGAAGTTACTATATTTTTATGATTTGGCTAGTTTGATTTTTTTTCCTATTTAGTTTTTCTATTTAGAGTTTAGTATCCTGCTTTATATTTATACTACATGGTGGTAATATTGATATATAACATTTTTTTTCAGTTGTATACCCTCTGAGGAGTTTCAAATCTGGTAATGATGATCATCAAAAGATATATACCTTCTGCTTCATTTGGGATCTGTACATAATAGAAGTGTATAAAGAGATACTTCACAATATATAGGAGTGCAAACGAAGCTCCCCTCTCATCTCATTGTTAAAACTGCATATTTTGCATGCATAGTTGATTTGAAATCTGCTTTGGCTGGGTCTGTGTGCACATACACACACAGCCATTTCTTTCTCGTTCATGCAGAAACACTTCCAAAGCAGCCTCACATAGAAGCCACACAAGGAACATGACTGCTTTAATGACCGAAGGAGAAGAGCTTCATTTGTAGTCCTGCACATTTCAAAGCACCTCTTGAATTAGGGATGTATAAAATTTTGCCACACAAGCATTTCATATGCAGAACAACTACTCTGGATGGTCTGTATCTAGATCAGTGATGGCGAACCTGTGGCACGGGTGCCAGAGGCGGCACTCAGAGCCCTCTCTGTGAGCATGCACGCCATCGCCCCAGTCCTAGGCCTTCAGCTGGGTTTTATAAAACCTTTTCGCTTTAGGCCTCCGCCGCCGTGTGCAAAAAAAAAAAAAAAGGTTCAATCAATGAGTCAATTTCAACTTCTCGTGGGAAAAAAAAGATCTTGCAAAGTTGGAATTGATTGACTGAACTTTTTAGTCCCACCCAGTCTGCCGTTACCACGGCAGCCACGCTTACCTAATGGCCACCCAATTGGCCACACCCATCCAATGGGCCACACCCACCCGACAATGCATAAGTGGGTTTGGGGTTGCATTTTGGGCACTCGGTCTCTAAAAGGTTCGCCATCACTTATCTCGACTGAAAATCACATACTTATGTTTTGGGGGGCTGGGGGAGAAAGGGAGCAGGCCAAGGACATTAACATGGCTGAGTGGAGATAAGGAAAAAAAATGCTGGGATGATAGGTGGCAGATGGCTGGTTCAGTATGCTATACATGAACGCAAGAACATTGGTACCGTAGCTAAAGAAGAGCTAAAGGGAGAAAGGGAAAAGGAGCAAATCAGCAGATGAGGTGTAACCCGAGCCGCAAAGAGATGAGAGGGATGAGATGTACTGACTGTGTCATCTTTGCCCGAAGATTTTGGCTGAAGCAGAATAAACAAAATATGTCAGAATACAGTTCTGCTGAACTGCAGCCCAGCTGGAACATTTTGGAAAAAATTCCAAAATAAAATTTTGGGGGGAGGGGGAGTGAGGTTGAAAGAAAATACATATTCTCTTTTTCATACCCAACCTTAAATATAAATGATAAACTTTCTCATTGATTGTTGTCTGTCTTCAAAGCTGACTGATATAGTTCACCATTTTGGCTACTGGCACAATATTTTTGACCGTAAGGATTTGTTATGTGGTAATATTAACTTTTATTATTATAGCGTTGATGGTATATTTGTTTTTTCAAATGATAATTAGGAAATTTTTAGGAAATTATTTTTCTAATATCTCCTATAGTAGGATTATTGCTGCATATTCACCTGGGGAGAAAATTACTGTTGCTGTTATCAATTCAATTGAAATGGTAAAGATGGTCTTTTTTTTTAACAACTTGCTATTTTTTTGGGAGGGGGGGGGAAAGCCATTCTTATTTAAAACCAGCCAGGTGGTTTCTTCTAGCTTTTCCTGTATTTGAAATTTCACTGCCCCACACTTCCTATAACAATGTCCTTTCATTCTTCCTTCCCATCTGTTGAAATTACCAGCCAGTTTCCAATT